GCTGATGTGATTTTAAGCCAGTCATGTGAGTAAAAGACTTTCCACAGTCACCACATACAAATTGTTTAGTACCAGAGTGGATGCGCTGATGCAATTTTAACCTTTCAATCTGAAGAAAAGCCTTTCCACAGTCACCACATACAAATGATTTAACTCCAGAGTGGATGCGCTGATGCATTTTTAACCTATCAATCGCAGTAAAAGACTTTCCACACTGATCACAGACAAATGATTTACCTCCAACATGGATCATATAATGTCTGTTAAAGTGAGTTTTTAGAGTAAAAGACTTTCCACACTGATCACAGTTGAATGGTTTCACACCGGTGTGGATCAGCTGATGTCTTTCTAAGCTGCATCTATGAGTATAGGTCTTCCCACATTGATCACAGCTGAATGGTTTCACCCCTGTGTGGCTCAGCTGATGTGATTTTAAGTGACCAATCTGATTAAAAGACTTTCCACACAGATCACAGTTGAAAGCTTTAACTTCAGTGTGGATGAGCTGATGTAATTTTAAGCTCCATCTATGAGTAAAGGTCTTCCCACATTGATCACAGCTGAATGGTTTCACCCCTGTGTGGATCAGCTGATGTGCTTTTAAGTGACCAATCTGAGTAAAAGACTTTCCACACTGATCGCAGTTGAAAGCTTTAAATTTCGTGTGGACGACCTGATGTGTTTTTAAGTTGGATCTATGAGTAAAGGTCTTCCCACATTGATCACAGCTGAATGATTTCACCCCCGTGTGGATCAGCTGATGTGATTTCAAGTTGCATCTTAGAGTAAAGGTCTTTCCACACTGATCACAGCTGAATGGTTTCACACCGGTGTGGATCAGCTGATGTCTTTCTAAGTTGGATCTATGAGTAAAGGTCTTTCCACATTGATCACATCTGAATGGTTTCACACCGGTGTGGATCAGCTGATGTGATTTTAAGTTGCATCTTAGAGTAAAGGTCTTTCCACACTGATCACAGCTGAATGGTTTCACACCGGTGTGGATCAGCTGATGTGATTTTAAGCTACCAATCAGAGTAAAGGTCTTTCCACACTGGTCACAGCTCAAGCTTCTCTCCTCCCCGTTGGCGCGCTTGCGTCTTCTG